TGTCAGAGGCGGTGCAGTTGGCGCAGGATAGAGCAAGGTTTAGGGCTGTTGTGCATAGGGTCGCTATGAGTCGGAAACAACTCGACGGCACATAACAACAACAACAACACGGAGTAATGTCACTCTTAAATGAAGGAAGGTGAAAAAAAGTTAAATCTCATTTTGACAATGAAAATGGACTTTATCTGTCCATTTTTAATCTTTAAATATTCCAGGCTTCAATAGTAAATCATGTGGATTTTATAGAAACTCTTTCTAAATATGGAGAAGTGATCGTAAATATATTATTTTTTCACTATTTCTAGACCATATTATGAAACTCAGTTGCACAGATTGAAATGCCCCTCCTTATGCACTGTCATAGAGATTGCCTATAAATTGAAAGAACTGTACAGCATATTAGCCTGTAAGGAGAAAGTTAAACACACATTCTTTGCTGTCATTCTCCTGAAGTTTAATGATGTGTGTGTGTGTGTATGTGTGCGTGTGAGAGTGTGCGTGTTTGTGTGCGTGCGTGCATGTGTGTGTGCACGTCCTTCTCCCACAGAGCAGCTGGTGGCCTTGAACCATTCCTTCGAGATTGCAGTGCAGCTTCTTGCTACTAGGCCCACCGCGCTCCCTTATCCATATATAGAGAGAATAAAATATTTATATATGTAAAAGAGAAAAATATGTGTCTGTTGGTTCCATTAATCTGTTTTGTAGATAAGTTAGTTATAAGTATCTTTGTGTTTATTCTTTCTATCATTTTGAAACATAAACTATCTTAAATCTCCTTTATCTTATTTACTTAAACGATTTTAAATCTCCTTTATCTTGTTTACTTTGGCCCATTTAAGATCTACCAACTTCAGAATGATTACATATTCGATTGCTCATATGAAAGTTATAGATAAAATCCATACATTTATCTCCTGTTAGAGAGCCCTGGTGGCCTATTGGGTAAAACAGTTGTGCTGCCAACCCAAATGAAGGTCATTCGAATCTACCAGCTGCTCTTCAGTAGAAAAATGAGCAGTTTTCCTTTTGTCCAGTTTACAGCCTCTAAAAACTCACAGGAAGATATGCTATGAGCCTGTTAGTTCAATAGTATATAACAACAGTCTCTTGTTCTATAAGTGATACAGGGATCTCTGGTGGCCTGGTTTTAAGGAGCTGCACCATGAATCTAAGGCATATGGTTCAAATTCACTGCCTGATCTAAGGGAGAAAATTGAGTGTCTCCTCCTATGTGATTTGCTGTCTCTGAAAATCCATAACAGAGTCAACTGTAAGTTGGTTGTGACTCAGTGGCACTTAACAACAGCAGAAGTCATATTAGAAACAATGTTTTACAGAATTTTGGCTCATCAGTATTAGATAGGCTGGTTCTCATCTGTGAAAGGTGAGGGTACAGGGGCAGTAGAGGTGAAATGACTTGTTTATAGTTACATATTTAAAGAAAGTTGGAACTTGAACTCGGTTTTCATTATAAGCAACACTAGATATTTTTTCTATATATTACACTGTAATGTATACAGAATTGCCTTCATCGGGTTGATGAGGGAGAATGAAAAAGTGTCAGAGAAATGTAAAAAAATTCTGTGAGTTTAAAATTTAGTTAGTATGGTCAAGACTTTTAAAGGTCTTATTAACTTTGATGGTTTTTTTGAAGGACAGCTCAAAGGACAAAAGATTCATTAATGGCTAGAAAGATTTTAAAGGCCAGAAAGAGTCCTTTAGCGCAAGCTAAGTCAACCTTGATCATAAAAAAACCCAAGCCAACTTATAATGAGCCTTCATTGGGTTTCCAGGGCTATCAGTCTTTATGGGAGGACACAGTCCATGTTTATCCTGCAGAGCATCTGGTGGATTCCAACTGTTCACTTTTCACTTAGCCCACCATGTTATACACTGTCACTAAGGCTTGATCACAAACTTGTTAAAAAAAGATAGCTCTCTGAGAATCTTTATAATAGTCTGAAAAGATTACAGATTGTTTGGACTTGTTTAA